TCACAAATACCTTTCACCCAATGGAATCGGAGATGGGTCTCAAATCTTCAAGACTTCGAGACTTCACATCCCAAAAAGGACCCTCCACTTCTCGAATGTAAACCCCCAATGAGACAAAGATGAACAGAAACCACACACGAAGTTGCCTTCAACTGAGACATCAAAATCGCCTCAGTCACGTTCTTCCCGCCTCACTACCGAAGCGGCTTCCGACGGTGTAACAAAAACACTTGAAGAAACACTGGGAAACGCAACGGCTTGGCGGGTGCACCTGTGTGCCACAGTGCCACAGTGCCATAATCACAATCCTCATCAACACCCACCCCCTTTCTCGATATTCACTGCACTTTCCTTTCAGGGTCCTCATCTAGCATCACGAGTTTCTAAACCAGCGATAAGAAGGGGCTCACGAGGCGGGAAGGAAGGGGGGAAAGGGGGGCTGGTGAATGAGACATCTCCAATCAAGTCACGTCTACTCACCCTAAAAAGAGGGTTGGCAGTCCAAAAAGTTCGGGGTTACGTATATTCAGAGTCTCATTCGCCACACCTGTGATTCATAGTCACATAGAGTAAAGCAGGAAACGTTTTCGTGTTCGCTCTCCAAGAGGACGACCAGCCACACGCGATGACATACTCTACGTTATCTGCCATGACTGAAGAACAAGAAGACCCTGAAATAAGCCACCTCCCTCACATGAATCCATCCTCTCCAAAACCTGGAAATCCTCGTGTTACGCCTCACCCCTCCAAGTCCGGATCTAGCCAATGCAGCACACACGCACCATGAACCAAAAGGGTGAGGGAACGTTTCGTCACACGCTGATGTAAGTGTCACCACCACCAACCCGGCGGCCCGGCCTTCAAAGAACACCGACATCACAAAGGAAACAAACGAACAGAGACAGATGAGAGATAGGAACGTACCTACCTACCTTACCTAGTGAGCCACCAACCTCATGCGACCCCAAAATGGGTCTGCCAAGATCAACTTGACATGGCGGGGAAAACGAATCTACTGTACGTCTGAGGCATCAGGTTGAGCAAACGTAGTGTAGATGCAACAGAGAAAAAAAAAAGGTGTGGCTGCAGGACAGCAACGACTAGACTCGCGTCGGCGTGCGTCAACCATTCACTCGGGCTCTGTTTCGTTATCGCCCATTTTTCGTGGCACTGCCATGCCTGCGTACATAGTAGGTTGTCTGTTGCGCAAGCACCTAGATACCAGCCGGCTAGTACAGAGTACAGAGATAAGAAAAGAAGCGAACATGGGGCGGGTATCTGTCCCCCGTCGACATGTGAGTGTGTCTCCGAACCAAAAGAATGACTAAACACGGTGAGACCTCGACGCGGACGACCGAGACATCCGCAGCGATCAAGTCAGTGACCAAATGGGCGAAGGTGGCTTGCTTTTCGTATCGCGCTGCGCTTTCTCCAATTGTTGTACCTGTGTTCGTCACACCGTCACCTGTATGTCTGTACTCTGTGTATACAAATGTTTCCTCCAAGCTCCAGCCTCGCCTCGTCTTCTTCCATCATCGTCTTCTTCTCCCTTTCATCACTTTTCATCTCCCCCCCCCCCCCCCCGAAAAGAAATCATTTCCCGCTCGTCCTACCTACCCTTCTTGTGTAACTTGAGCTAAAGGGTTCAGGAGGGTGGAAGGAATGGTGGACGGGTGGGAAACCATCCACCAGTTCTGGAATTTCTGCAGTGACAATCTGAACATTCCATCGCCCCCCTCCATCTTTTCAACCATGACCAACCAAGATTAAATCCGCTCCGAAAGGGAGAGAGTGGACATGCAGGGTCTAAGAACACAGAAGACGGCTGATTAAAAGTCATCTTCATCGTTTGATGCAAATCAGCTGAAGTGAACTCCATGTCTCGGCCATCCCATCAGTAAAAAAGACATGAAATAGAAAAAAAGTACCTCTCTCTGTAGATCAGCTCGATATCTGAAAGTGTCTGCTATTCCACCTAGATCAGCACTGAACCCCTTCTTCGGTCCAGGTAGTTGAACCAAACCCCTAGAACCCCAGACCAGTATCAGGCCATCGGCGAAAATGGGATGACGTGCAGCAAAAACATGGAGAACCATCGCACACACCCACCCATCCACCCAAACCCACAATCCTGAACCAAACAACCAAACTTCGCACACTCACTCCGCCGTCCTAAGCGTGAGAAGACTGCTCCCGGGGGGCGGCTCTGAGCCTGTAAACCACGCAACCACTAATCCAAGCAGCCATCAAATCCCCCTTGGAAAAGGATTCACCGGAGTGTCATAGACACCTTGCACCAAAAACAGAGCAGAAAATGCCCAGAATCTAGGTGCGTTGCTACGCCGCGACCGCGCATGCGATGCGAGTATCGAAAAGTAGTTGGATCGGCTGCGAGCCAGGCGTTGGATCTATCATCTCGCCCAAAGATCACGACCCCTCCTCATCCTCCTCCTCCTCCTCCTCACTGGCACCCAACACTGATGTTCACTGCACATCACTCTAGCAAACCGGGCCTTTTAAACCCCCCCAGCGCATGTCACCCTAAAGAGAAACCATGACCCTGATTTCCGCCGATCACCGTCGACGCCGTTGCGTTTTTGTTCTTCTTTGCGCACCTGTATTCCGGAATTCCTGTTCTCGTCCTGGCCACCCTGCGATAAGTGATGAGCCAACACAAACCAATCCAAAGCTACGAAACCGAGACATTCTTTTGGAGAAACCTGGAGGTGCGGGTTGCATCGGGTCCAACGTAGGTAAGGGTCGTGTGGGCAGGCAAAGGCAGTCCCAACTGCGGAGGTTAAGGGGGCCGTCTGCTAGCTCGCACGGCTTTGCACGGGGCTAGGCGCGTCTCGCCTCAAGGTATGTATCCGTAGCCCATCATGCAAGTCACCGCATGTGGTTGACTCTCGAACTCGTCGACAAGCACCAAAACTTGCACACCGGTCTGGGAGGAGGGTGGCCCTGGTGGGTGATGGGAAAGTGGTTGCCCCGGTGTGAAAAGCCAATCAACTCGCCCCCTTGCCTAGATCTTGAGTGTCGATGGAATATTAACACCGAGAATGAGCAAAGATGGAGTCGGTTGGGGAGGGAATTCAATCACATCTTAGGTCAGCGCCAAATCGGTGTGATTCCCTCGCACTTGTCCGGAACGCCGTCTCGACGAATGATCGCGACCGTACGGCCCTCCGCACATCCCGCATTTTTTGGTTCTCCAGACAGCGACTCCTCCCCCCTTTCCGTACCCCAGATTCACATGTTGCTTTTTTCTAGGCCCCTGGGGGCAGGCATGGCAGCGGGGATGGTGCTAGAGCTGTGCGCGACGAAGAATAACAACAACCTCATGTGCCTAGCACCACTCCTTCATGGAGATTCCTTCCTCAGTGACCTGCGAGCGACGTCTTCCTTCGGCGCGATCGTAAAACCGAGTCAAGTCCCTGTCAACGGAGCTTTGGTCTGAAGCAAGAGATCAGCCCTTTATTCTTCGTCGTGGGCGATGAGGGTGGGAGCAGCTGGTGTTACTAGACAGTACGTGTTTGATGGTCTAGACATGGTGGGATGCCCTTCGCCATGTGGTAGAGCTAGTCCCGTCAGCCAGCGAGCGGTTATGATGCCATGGTGAGAAAAGACATCGAGTAGAGGATTTTCCCTGTTCAGCTGTCTGGGGAAAAGAAAGATCCCACGGCTGCCGCCGCTACTTTAGTCGAGCGGCTTCCGGCCTCCCACACTTTTCCCCAGACGTCTGATATTTTGACATTTTTTTCCAAGCAAAAGCCAGTGCACATAGCTTATAGAGTGTGGACCGGAGGCGCGTAAGCCGCTCCATCTAGTGGCGAGAAGGGAGTCCGCTGGCAGCAAGCAGTAATACGATGGCGGCCAGTACGGGGTGAGAGACATTTAGAAATATGACGAGGCACATGCTAAACCTCAAGTTCCACCTCGCACGAGGTGTGATGGCTGGAAGCAGGGGGCAATGAGCAAGAAATTAAGTCCAAAACGAAGAAAGAGTACGGGGTATAGTGCCATTGACTGCAACGCCGTACGCAGAGAGATGCCAGCCGGTGTTCTTTGAAACGGCGGAGGTCAAGAGAGCCTTCGGATATGAGCAGTCATATTCTGCTTGGTGCTCTGTTGGGATGAAAGACAACAGATATAATTTGGGGTAACCGAGCCGTCGGGGATTGCGACGCAGAAGGATTTCTGTTTAGCTCACAAAATGACCATTTCGCGGTGTCATGCCAATCATTCAAAACTCGTGAAGAAAAGTCGAATTTCCAACAGAGAAATGAGCGTCGCCGAAACGTCATGCCGGTTGGGGGAGGCTACCTGATGAGCATGCATCGAGGTGATCGACACAAACCACCAACGGCCGTTCTTGGATCCTAGGCGATTGACGTTGTATGGGGCGATTTCTATCGAGAGAAGGGAAACCAAAAAGGCGTGCCTACCGTACTTGCTTCTATTTGGGTATGAGCGCGAGCTGTGACGGATCATGGAGGACGACTTTTGTTGGTCTGGATGTCTTAGCTCCCGTAGACTTGCAGATAGGATGATGCATGATGTTGTTCCTCGACATGCGCGCGTTCCCTTCTCGTGGCCGCGCATTAATAGCACTGTCGCTTAGGGCGGGACGAAGAAAATAAAAGACCCCAGTACTAAATTACCCCGGACAGCAGATACCGACATTGGTCTGTGTGCGAGACAGACAAGCCACGACTCAGACTCGGGCTATTCGGGTGGCAGAGGTTGACGACGACAGACTCGTGCTTGGGCAGCTGATTGCGCAGGTGCTTCAGAGTCGAACAACACGACACCAACCCCATCTTTCCCCAACCTCTCTCCTTTGGGACTTGTTGTTGTCCGGAGCTCTTATCTGCAGACTGACGAGCAGTCAGGTAAATGGGTGGTGATGCCGATGCACTTCCGGCCTGCGATATGTATCCGTAGTTCGTCTTGCTGCAAGCTACGCTGCAAGCAGCAGATGCCCGCGTTTGTCAACGGAATCAGGGACCCTGTGCAAAGCTGGACCAGCCCAGCGATTGGGGGGGTTTCTTGACGAATAAGCCGCCGTAAATCACAGCCCTTGCCCTTGCGGCCTTGTCTCCCTCTGGGCCTCTTCTCCGCAGTTCGCAGCTGGCTGCCCTAGTCTGGACCGGGCTATTTGGAGTACATTTGCACCCCGTGGCCAAGGAGGGGCTGCCCCCGGGCATCGGAAGGGAACGCCAAAGCGAAGCCATCGTGAGATTTTTCTGCCCCTCAGACTTGTTTGATGATTGGTCCCAAGCCCCTGCTCCCCTGCCACGTAGGCGTTTTTTCGGGTTCGTTGCAGGGAAGGCAGGCTCACCGGTGAGACCACCTAGCTGTCCCTGGAGGCGTGTGGAAGCCGAAGCATCGTGAGCTTCACTTGTTTCAGTGGGTCTCGCGAACCTTCTATGGAGAAACGACAATGGAGGTACCATCTCATCTCGCTCGGACAGGCTCTCTGCCCGGTAGAGAGGGAGAATCACATCGTGGACCGTTCTGGAATTTGGACCCTTCTTTCCTTTTTGGATAGTGGTTCCGAGTTCGTGGCGGCCCAGATTCTTCGAGGCCTACGATGCATCTATTCCTTACCTCACATATTGCTGAACTCAGCGGGGACGGCTTTCACCGACCGGTAGTAGAGCTGGTCATTGGAAGTTACCCATGGCTGGTCTTGACGAACTTACTGCGTCTACATGATCCAGTTCTGAGTACAGAGTGTTCATACACCCGCCCTACGGCGTGGTCACCGTTGTTTTGTTGGATTGGGTTAAGACGAGCAGGGCGCTCGAGCCGGGAGCGTTTGGGCTGTCAGCGAGGTGTGAATGTCGTGGAACGATTTTCTGGCCCGGGATCGTTAAATTCTTAGCTAGAGACGAGATCCGCGTGCCTCAATGGCTGATACTGATAATAAGGGTCGGTCCGTGTATGCTGCAACTTCACAGCTCATATCTGCCCAGGGTGCCGGACTAGAGGTATTGAACATACGGCAACGATTAGGTACGAATTGTTTGTTTTTACGTTCATCGTTTGCATTTGAAGCTTCATTCATGAACCCAACCACGCCGACTTGCTGAAATCTTTCTCGGCTTAGTGGACCTCACTGCTGCGGTGCTGTGTCCGAGTTGACCAGGGATGATCAGTGATCGTCGATACATTCGAGCAGAGGCCCAAACCCCAGAAGCGCTAGACAGGGAGGGTAAGAGGTCCCGGAGAAATTCATGCCTGACTGTGAGCATGCGATGGACGGAGGTTTCCATTGAATCGAGCCGATCTAGTCTCGAGTCTCGACCACAACCAGCTCACAAGTATACAAGTAGGATTGATGGGCACCGGGCTGGTTGTTGGAGATCATGGCCCGGGGCGCCGTGGCCCCTTCGATCTCTACGAGCGTTGATTCCGAAAAGACACTGCGCACGCCGCAGACTGGACGTTAACGTACCACTGTGCCAGCGGTATGTGGCTTTCCGTGGTGCCGTCTCTTCCCGAGACTGACATTGCCAGCCGGCCAGCGATGCTAATCCGGATCGGGTAACCTGACGGAACGAGCTGACCTCAAGTCCGATCGCTTCTCGTAAGAAGCAGAGCTGGCTCGGCGGCTTTCTTTGGTTGTCAACGCATTGTCCAATCGCCTGGCAATTCCAGTGGTATCGTTGATTAAGCTAGTGCCGTTCACGATCCAGGCTTGCGGTTCCTGCACTCTCATCACCTCTATCGTTCAGGCCATTGTCTGGATGGTGGGCAACTGGACCGCTGCAATTTGGGGGAAGGAGTGATTTTGTCTTGCGGTCTTTCGAGCGCTTGTCGCGTGTCTTGGTCGCCCGTTCAAATGCGATGGTTATGACAACTGTTTAATCGGTCACTCTGACACAGCAACGCTCTGTGGAGTCTCTGGCATTGAGGGATCTTCTAGTAGGACGTGGTATAGCGGATGAGTGGGTAATGTTGCGCTTCTTTCGACACTGAAGGTGTACGAAGGAACACCTGGCAACCTGTAGTGAACTCGTGATATTCGGCGGTTTGTCTCTGAATGTTCAAGATTCTTCTAGCTTCTGGTCCCGCCTCCATGTTCGCTCCTAGTAGTAAAGCGTTGTGCACAGTCGTTTTCGTCCTTGAGATTGCGAATGATGACAATGATGCAAGCTGCGCAGCGAGTGGAGACCGTTAGGCCTCGACGAAACCAGCAGAATAGCCGTGACCAGGGGCAGCCTGGACAGGTGAGAGAACTTGGATGATTGGGAAGCATCGTCCGCGCCGCATCTCCACCCGAGATAATTGACGGCGATGGAGTCTCCATCAGCGACTCCAAACATCTCCCGCTCCGACATTGACGATGGTACCTCGATGCCAGCATCGCTTGCTGCATGGATAAGGGTAGTTCCAAGGCCGCCGAGTTGACGATCATGCTTGATCTGGAGTCTTCTGAGGGCTGAGTTCGGGAGCAGGTGCAAGTCGGGTTGCAATAGAGGAGCTGTTCTTCCGCGGAATAAGAGCGACGGAGTCGAGCAAACTCAATGAAGTCTACGACAGCGGCAATACCGGCGACGAAGCAAAACTCGAGTCGTTCGCCGATGGCTGAGCCAGGGTCTATCCTGCTTCACTTGCGCCTGGTGCGAGCGCCGCCCCTGATCGATCGATTGGTAGTTTCCTCGACTCTGAGTGGCTGGCATCTGGAGTGCGAAGAAAGCTAGCCCCCTATCCATGCTCACGGAGGAAAGCGTATTATCGTAGCCATTGCCTCGATCGCCAGATGTCGTGTTGTTAGTTATCATTTGATGACCCGAGACTACAGAGCGATGATTGACGGCGGTAGAAGGCTGAACAGTCTAAAGCACCAACGGCGAAGATTGCTTGCCGAGGTGAGCATCCCTTCGACTGACAACGAGTGCCTCATGTTGCTCGTTCCACGGTCGAAACCAGCGACCAAATGGCAAGTGACAACGTGCCCAGAGAAATTTATGTATCCAATGAAACGTGGTTCCCGAGCTTGAGAGCAGAAATTTTGCAGGACATCAGGCCATTGTACGGTATCAGCGTCTTGTCAAGCCAATGCCAAGCCTCGACTGCGTCGTGGACAGCTGTGTTGATGATTTACTACAGTCGGGGATGTGGTTGGACGCCCCCGTCGCTGTATTTGCTGTCACCGAATGCTCCCCGATGGCCGGATGCCCCCGCTAAGAACAGTTCGATATGTACATAAATTAGACGATCAGATCGTTTTTGCGACTATGCTGCTGGACTGCCGGGCAGTCGCATTTCTGCCGTCCAAGTCAATTCCAGGATGATGCGGTTGTCGCATTAGGGTCTCGTTCGTGGCGTCCAAGAAGGAATCATGCAGAGACAGGAGAGATGCAGCTCCGAAACTAGGCGACAAATGAGCGCTGCAGAGGGCGTCTTGCATCCAATGGCCATGTCGCACAGTGAGCCAGGAGAATGACACTTGCATGCGTGTGAGTTCTGGTTGCGGAGCTGACCCTGCAGTTGTTCAGAGGTGACTGGAGAAGCCAGTTCCAGATGCTGGGTTTTGACCAATGCCGAAGAAAGAGTGCCTATGTTCGCTGCTCATACTCGTCTGTTCGTGGTGTTATGAAGGTCTTGTTTCCGCCCGTCGGTGTCGGGCCTTGTCAAAGAAAGACGGGATGAGCCACCTCCATGCGCGGGTTCTTTGTATGCGGCAGGGTGATCTGAGGAAACGTCAGGTTTGCGGGCGCGACAGCCCTGGAAGGAGAACGTCAAGAAATTTAGATTCTCATCTGCCGGATGGTCGATGGTCTCTCCGCGCCGTCTCTAACAAGATCAAGCCATGCTCTCCATGACCAGCAGTTTGTGGCTGTAGGCTGTAGCATGTCTCGTCATAACTACGCAGCCGGCTCTTCGGCTGCTACGCAGCGAACAAGTGGATAGCCACCGCCGCCGCCGGCCACCGCTAGAACACCTGCCCGTACTCCGTACTGTGTAGATTGTTCAACGCACATAATGGATGGTCGAAAGCACTAAGTATGTGGAGAACCGTGATCATTGATGTAGGTGGAGAAGATCGGTCGGTTGTGGAAACGCACGTTTGTTGGTAGGGCGGCACGGCGGGAGTTGGGCTTGCTGAACGGGGATCGAGGGCCGCCTGTGAAAATAGGCGACAAACCCGGGAGCTAGGGAGACATCGGACCAGGGAAATGCCTAACGTCGAGGAAGCATGCAAGGTAGCTGAGGTCTGGAGTCTGAAATCTGGATCGGAGTCCAGGCTGTTGCCACCGAATAGTGACATTGACAACGGCAGCGGGCAATGACAAAGACATGCCAACTGCCCGAAGACGGATCAGGCTCCGTTCGGGTTGGGCCGCTGGTCCAGTGTGCTTGCATCGGCCAACTAGAAATTGTTGAATGATTGGGACCGAAGAGGTGGGATTTGTCCCCCAATGTGTGCCGTATTAGTCATAAACATGCTGGCCGCCGGGTTGAAGAGTCGGATGAAAAGATAGGTATTGGTAGAGTACCTAGGCAGTCAATTACCTGGATAGTGTAATGAGGCATTCGTAAAGATTCGGGGAAAGACAAGTGGAAGAAGAGGCGCGAGACACGCACAGCACGCGAGGAGACGTAGCGAAGGTCGATGGGTACCTAGTTCCTTTGTTCGAATTGGTGCAGTCACTGCAGCACTGGCAGCGATGGCATTTGGATGTCTTGGTGTCGTGCAGTCTTGGGCATCATCTTCGTGCTTGTCTTGCAGGCTTTGCCGCAGGTCGGAGACTTGACTGAGTTGACTCTTCTTGTCGATGACATCTGCATCACGCGTGTGTCACTGCGTAGCGGAACATGTCTTGCATGGGTGCATTCCTCGCGAGGCACTTTAGCCAAAGGCGTCGTTGGAGTGTGTCCCAACCTTTTGATGCCGAAGGATTTTGCAGTTGGGAATGGCTTGTACTGTCTTCCGCGGACCAACACACCTCGTTGACTGGTGAGTTGAGGTGAGGTGAGGTGAGGTGAGGATAAGGAGTCGTTGGACTCTTTCTTTTTTCTTTTGTCGTTATTTTTCTCCCGGATGCTCAGGGCTATGGTGCCGGTGGTGTGTCGCAGTACGTATCTGTATTCGTAGCAAACGGCAAGAGCTTCGAGATTGCTTTGCTGTGCTTCGTACCTACCTTACCTTCCACTGCCCAAGGAACCTAAGGTCAACGGCGGGGAGAAATCGGTACGTGCCTTGTCGTCGGCGCATGTCGCGAAAAAAGGTGAGAGGCTCCAGCGGGCCAATGACGAGATGCAGATCATGGCGCGATAAGGCAAGGTACCTGGTCGGAAGTCCCTCGTTCCCTTTCTCCGTAGCTGCTGCCCTTGCCCTTGCTCCTGCAGTCTTGCACTCTTGCCTCCATCTGGCCCTGCCCCCGCTCCGGTCGTGGCCCCGTTGTCCCCGCTCTGGCCCTCAGAAACTGATTCGGTACGTATCTTTGTCGAAATGGTGAGGATTTGGCTCTTCGCTTCTCTTCTTTCGAGCTTTTTTATTTTTATTTTTATTTATTTATTCCTATAGCGATTCTGTCTTTTCAAGCCCCCAAGCAGCCAAGTCAAGGACTGCCACCAAAACTTTGTCTGACCCTTACTGCTTTTCGAATCTTGAATTCGCAGCCGCAGCACGGGCCAAGCATCGGCCATCCTTGCCAATGCACGCACATCCATCTGTCTTGGACCCCTGTGCTCGCCATGCCTTTTGGCTTTTACATAGTAAAGTGCGGTTTTGCCAATGCCAACAGCTCGCTGCCTCTCCTGGCTTGGCCAAGACAGCACACAACCTGTTCTCACTTCTCAGGTGTGCGAGTTGTCTCCTTCTTGCAAGGAACACCGCTCCGAACTGGGGCACGGTATCCATAACTATGCAAGCATGCAGGAGGTCAATTAGATGGAGCAAGCGACGTGGTGCGAGGCATGTGCGGCTACTGGGTCGTAGGAGGATCCATTCGTACCTGACTGGAGTCTTGGACTGTATGGGATTTTCTTGATTCTGTACAGAACGATCCGTCATCGAGATTCGAGGGAGTGATTCCATAGACTCTGACTGATTGCTACTGTGAGGGTGAGGCAAGGAACTGCAAGAAACGGGCATGGTGGAGGAGGGTAACAGAGAATAGAATCGAAACACTCCTAGGGCAGATTCGACGGAGTTCGATGTCGGCAGGTAGAGTGCAGCATAACGTCGCAGATGGATAGGTGCTGGGAACCCAACCCAAGGGCTGCTGCAGCCATACTTTCGAGTGGACGCCATAGAAAAGATGGACGAGTCGAAACACGGGCTGTGGATGGGTTTGTGTCAATCGTAGGTGGCTGTCACACCCTTTGCTGGCTCTGCATTGCACGTCCCCATTGAGCTGAGCTAGCTAACATGCCTCGACCTGTCAGTTTTCGGCCAACTGCCCTAGACTTTGAAAATAATGGCATGTCATCGTAGCTGAACTTCAGATCGATGGCAGAGGCGTACACTACTTGGCAGCGACGACGGCCAGGCCGCCTATGGGAGGGCCTAGACGAGAAGCCACGAGGCTCTGAGATGGTATAAGCTGCTAACGACGTTTGGTTGCTCGTGATGATGGGACGAGATGAGAGAGAGCCCAGTGCTTTGTGATGCGTATCCGTCGTAGCCTTTGCTGCATGGCGCCTGCAGGGTGAGGTTGCTCTGTTGGGTCACTGTGAGGTGTTACTGGGATGCAAAAGTGAGCTGCGCGCGCTGTACGCAGGCCCTCCGGCCATGTCGTACCATAGTATCCAGATGTACCATTTCGGTACGATGTTGCTTTGAGAACTCGGGCAATAACCTTGGCAATGAATTGATACGCAGCACGTGCAATATGGCAGTAATGCTCTGTAAGTGTTGAGGATATCTGGACGTCAAATGTGCGGCAGTGAGGACGTATCTGAGGGTAATACAAGCAAGTAGGTACATACTGCAGGATCATGGCTTCGAACGTGCCTTGGGCCGTGCTTGCGCCTCGTCGTGCGACCAGGTGCGGATGCTCCTTATCTCTGCAGCAAGCTGTGCAAAAAGACGGGGAATTCCAGGCGGTGACCTGTGCGGATACCCACCAGCATCACCCCAGCTTCACGCCAGTCCCAATGCAGTTGACCCACTCGAGATAAGGTCCTCGTCTGCAATCGGGACCAATCAGAAGGATGTTGGCCGCGCCCAAAGGCACAGACGCGCATACCGTGTCTTCTGGCCCTCTGTGCACGGTACCTTGGGTCGCAAGGTGCAGGCGCCCCTCCTTCCCGGCCCTCTTCTTTTTCGCAGCATCCCTCTTCCTCCCGCCATCCCGTCTTAATGCTGCACGGTGGCCTGTGCAAAAGCGCGAGGCTAATAGCGAGCGAGGATGGATCTCTCGAATCGCAAAGGCGTGAGAGCGAGGGCACTTTAGGAAGAAGACGGAAAGAAGGAAAGGAAGCAGACGGGAGGAAAGAGCGAGCCCGGTCTGAGCAGCCGTAACGCTTCGGGCTCTCTCGTTACTTTCGTTACTCGAGTCTCGTAGGAGAACAATTCCCAGCTCCAGTCCAACATTGGATGGACTCCACTGCGGGCGCCGCGCCTACGCAGCATGGCCTGCGGCCTGTCTTGTCTTTTCCTTGCGTTGTGTCCTGTCGCTATTTCGCCTTCCCAGGAATACCAGACCCGGTTGCTCCTCCTTGCCCACCGCCGCCGCTCTCCTTCCTAGCATTTCCAGGTTCCGGCCCCCCTTCCAATCATCTCTATCACAAACGCACACACCCACACAGGGTGACTCTTGCAAATACACACGGGGTAGAACATGATTGAGAAAGAGCAGGAGCGACGACGGCAGCAACAGCAGCAAGCAAGCAACAGCAGAAAGTGTCGTCCAGCGTCAATTTGTCTGGGAATCAGTCGTGCCTTCCATCCGCTCTCCACCATCCACAGCGACCCGAAACCAAAGGCGCTGCTGGACGCGAGGTGTGTGAATGTCCCACTCTTTGCGGCACCTACCACTACTTCCTTCCCTCTCCCCAATGAAAAAAGTAGAAGGAAAATAAGGGAAAGAACAGAGAGAAACCAAACCTCTTGGTCTCCGTCCATTTCCCAATTCGCTCACCCACACACCCTCATTATCACCAATAACCCCATTCAGTCACCAACGCAACACCAACCAGCAAGCACCGGCAGCGGGAACACTCCACTCTCACACAGTCAGAATCCCGATCCCAACACCAGGCTCCCCCCTCTCTCACTCTTATATTCTCTTTCTCACCCTCTCCCTCTTACTCACTCTCACACACGGCACACCCATCAAATCACACATACCTACTAGGGTACTATTCGTACATACACTATTACTCACTTACTCACACATCCCGACCTCACACTCCGCGGTTTTCTGGCTCGCGCGCTAGGTACTCTCGTACTGTGCACTATTGCCTCCCCTCACTCCCAACCTTGCCTGGCTTTGCCTTGCTTGGCTTTTCAAATCCACACCCACCCACACCCACCACACCAAAAAAAGACTGAGATCCCTCGTCTTGTTCCTCCCCTCGTCTTTTAGTCCCCTCCACCCCCCGGAAGTACCTGACCTTGCCAACCTTTCGAACTTCTTCCGTCTTGCCTCTCGACCCTCTGTCCATCCAACACTTTTTGACTTCACATCGCCTCACAATACCTACTTCATCTTGCGTCCCGCCTGCGTCTTGCCTCAGCACTTTGCCTTTCTGCTAGCGACTCTTCCGACGACTATTTCGACTTCCCGACAACGAAATCTGCGAACCAACCTCCTCCCTCGCACTACAACGACCCAACTTCTCGTCCAAACCTTCGCTCTGTCACTGCAGGCTCGCTACGATCCAGACATCCTTCCTCGACCTCATTTCCAGTCACCCAACCCAAATCTACACCTACACTACACAATCGAACCGCTCCTATCATGATGGCAATCTAAAACCCGAACCGTCGTTGCGATCTTTTTTCTCGGCCGCCGTGCGAGCCCCGTTCTTCGTTCTCCCACGCCCCTCATTATGTCGAGTCGCCGACTGGGACTTTCACGACCAGTCGAACCTGAGCGCTTTCACGAATACTATGGACCCACAACAGCCTCTTCCTCATCAGAGGAACTCTCACAACCCTCATCTGCTGGCCCTTGTGCCGCCCACTTCCAATGCCCTACCCTTGAGGTCTTCCGCTAGCACGCCAATGACCTCTCCGGGACTTTTCAGTCCCTCAAACCCGCGTCCGAAAATGAACTTTCCGATCCATGCCTCGTCCGACTCAAACACTCCAAACGTCGAGACCAGCAGTCCCTACCTTCACCCGCTCCAGAACCACAAAGTCAGAGAGTAAGTACAGCTTTTTTTCCCTCTCTGCTATACTATGCTGTGGCCGCGCCTTCTCTCAAATAAAGCCTTTGTGTGAATCGACATCGACGGCTCTCTATCAGTGAGGCGGTTTCGTGACTACGTAATTGACAGCGGGGGCCAGCCGCAGGCCCCGCGACAAGGGGATGACTATTTGATAAGCTAACTATATCGGTGACCAGGACACATAAAGCCTTGATTGACTCCGACAGCATTACCGGCCGCAAGCTCATCAACCAGTATGAAGTCATCGAAGAAATTGGCAGAGGTGTGCACGGAAAGGTCAAACTCGCCCGAAATCTCGAGACGGGCGAAAATGTGGCTATCAAGATCATTCCACGGTATTCTAAGAGACGGCGACTCGGCAAGGTCATGGCCATGTCCCCGCAGGAAAAGACGATGAGAGAGATCGCCATCCTCAAGAAGATGAGGCATCCCAACGTCGTCTCGCTGCTGGAGATTATCGACGATCCGGAATTGAAAAAGATCTACCTGATTCTCGAACACGTGGAGCTAGGCGAGGTTGTCTGGAGAAAAAAGGGATTACCGCACATCTGCCACCACGAGCGTCGTCGCATCGAGAGAGAAAGCAGAGGTCAGCCGCTGACCCCAGAGGAGGAGCATTACGAAAAGATAATGGAGGAGAGGTACAAGATCCGGGAGCAAAAGCGGGAAAAGATGTCTCGAGCCAACATGAACACCCATGAGTTTTGGAGTATCGAGCACGGTATTTCTGACGACGCGAGTTGTGGATCGCAATCCCGCGTCCCCTCAAGGGACGACCTAGGAGCATTGGACTTTTTCGGAGGCGAAGGATCACAACCCAATTCGCTGCAGGCATCCCGGGCTACATCTCGAGCGCCATCGCGGTCTCAGTCTGTGAAGTCAATTCGCGACACCGTTTTTGACCAGGAAGCCATCGACGACACTGAGGACATCGAGACGCCAGGCCCGCTACAGACCAGCAACCCAGGCTCAGCTACCGCACTCGATGGCACTATGTATGGCGCTTACATGGAAGACGCGGCCTTTCGAGGTCGTTCACCCAGCATGGCCGATTCCATCATTTCGCACATGTCCTCGGTCGACTGGAACACTCGGATGCACGACCCTTTCGCTGAAGACTTTTCCTACGTTCCTTGCTTTACCATCGACCAGGCAAGAACGACTTTCCGAGACACTGTCTTAGGCCTGGAGTACCTGCATTACCAAGGTGTCGTACACAGGGATATCAAGCCTGCCAATCTACTGTGGACCAAAGATCACCGCGTCAAGATCTCCGACTTCGGTGTTTCGTACTTTGGCCGTCCCATCCGAGAAGGCGAGGCCGACGATGAGACGGTCTCAGAATCCGAAGCACAAGATTTCGACGATGATCTTGAGTTAGCCAAGACAGTTGGCACCCCGGCATTCTTTGCACCTGAACTGTGCTACACCGACGCGGACCGCATGGAACAACCGAAAATTTCCGAAATGATCGATATTTGGTCACTTGGCGTAACCCTCTACTGCCTCATCTACGGACGTATTCCTTTCCAGGCCGAAGATGAGTGGCAGATGTTTCGAAAAATTGCCACTGAGGATGTCTTCATTCCCCAAAAACGCCTCAGGGCAGTGGACCCTTCTACCCCTCCTAACTCTGAATCTCTCTTTAAGCGGCATAACGGACCTCCCTACAGGGACGACAACGAACTTGCCTACGAGAACATCGACCCCATTTTGCAGGACCTTCTGCGAAACATGTTTACTAAAAACCCGGACAAACGAATTCGTCTGAAGGATATTAAGACCCATGCCTGGGTTGCGAAAGGAATTCCAGATGTGGAAGCGTGGTTGGCTGAGACTGACCCAGCCAAGACTTCGGGCAGGCGAGTCCAGGTTAACGACAAGGAGGCGGCCCGCGCTGTCGTGCCCATTGCCTTCTTGGAACGCGCACGATCTACCGTGAAAAAAGCAGTTGGGAAGTTGATGCACCCTTTAGGGGATCGAAGCGATAGCCGGTCAAGGCGGAGAGCTGCCAGCAGTGCTGCCAGCTCGGCTGGAGACAGCATGTTCAATGTACCGCCCACGCCACACTCGAGAGAAGCACGCAGAAAGAGTCTCAAGAGCGAAGACTATTTTTCCAACGTCAAAGACTTTGCTTTTGGCGGCTCTGACCATCCTCTTGTCCACAGCGAGACAGTCTCTCCCTACGAGTCTCCCTACGACCCTCTCGCTACGGCTATCGCTCAACCCGTCAAGGGCCAAGGAGCTGCCCTTTTACATGCCATTCAGAACAGCTACAGCGACTCGAGGACGAACAGTGGCACGGCATCGCCTTCAGATCAGTCAACAATTCCTGGGACAGCGTCATTTTACAAGCCTTTTCAGAGATACTCGCAAAGCCCATCGAATGGCAATAGCTTTTTGACGCTTACAGCTGGATTACCCGAGGTCAGGACACAACCTCCTACACCTTTTTCCGGTGACTCCACACTGGACGATCCGTCTAAGGAAATGCGACAAACACGTGGATACGACGCCTTGACAGAGGAAGCTCTCCGTGCACGCTCAGCAGAGCGTGGCGTGTTCAGAGACCAAGATAAGCGCGCCCCTGCACAAGTGAGCGTCACCACGGCGAGTGTACCTGGTACCCTTCATAGGATGCCTAGCCTTCCTGGCAAGCCTCGAGCTATGCGATCGGTGGACTTGGGTAAGGCGAAGCAGGCCACCAGCGCCTTAGCTTCACCACTGTTCTTTTCGTCTCGGTCTGTCACCGGCTACCAGCATGGCCAGCCACAATCGGACTCAAACATCTACGAGACTCAGCGCCTCACGGCCGACCTAGAGGAGAGACCGCAGACAGCACATAGGATCGAAAGTGTGCGGGATATACCCGAGGCAAGAACGCCACCACCGCGCACATACAATACGTCAACTCCTGAGTCGTTCGCCCGCGCAAAAAGCGAGATGCAGCGCAAGCAAATCGCAGAAAGTCTTATTCAACAAGCTCCGGACGACGTCAGGTCAGACATTGCCGTGATCGATCCAACCGAAGTACCTTGCCCTCTCTCGCCCGATGACGAGCGATTTGGCACGCCGCCACCTCCATCTCGTGAGGACACGATGGAGACTGAAAAGTCCTCCCGCTCGACATCCATCGGTGGCCTGGCTTCTCCTATTACGAATCCCAGCGAAATAGCCAGTCCCGTCTCGTCTGTCAACCACCACACGAAAGAGGAGATGCTTGCCT